GAATTGATACAAATTGTGGCCTCGGAAAAAATAAACAATGCAAGCGTATCCTTTTGCAAAATCTTAAAAGACCTTCAAAACAGGATAAGCTGCTTAATTATGCTGAACCCTCAAGGGTGAAATTCCACAATTGTCTGAGTTTGCATTGAAATAATTCAATATATGCTGTAGTAGTATCAGTGGACTTTTTCACCAAATATCATGTTACGGTGGTCAAGTCTTTTATCTTTCTCCTACACTTCCACCCACATTACACAATAAAGACTATATTTCCTATATTATACCCTCCCCATATCAGTTATATCAGTTTTTAGACTTATGGCATTCTTAGTGGCCTAGTGAACCAGTATCAGGATGTATTTATTGACAGAATTCAAAGCACTTCTGTACGTCACTCTGGAAAACTGCTTGTGCTAGATGTCGTAAATGTAAACAAAGATTTATGTTTGCTAGTTGGGTTTAAGTGAGAGGTGTGGGTGTGTGTGTGGTATTTCTGTACCTGCAATGTGTGGCCACACACTCGTTGCTGCAGTATTCTCTGTCCCAGTCTTTGCTCTCCACTGGCAGCTTGTTGCAGCCGGCGCGCACACACACAATAGGACCTATAGGGGGAGCCACCTCATGCGCTGGAGAGCTGTTCAGCTCCACCTCCATCTGAGGGAGAAGGAAGGAAGAGCAATTAAACAAATGATAATAAACACACACAGATAAAACATCAGGTCCGACTCATGTTCTGTTCAGTTCAAAAAAGGAACGCATCACCAATTAGCCTGTCGCTGATTACTTTCCTAGAACAGCACGTTCCAAGGTGTTTCATTGTCTACATGCTTGCACTGCCCTACAATAAACAGAACATGAGGGTCTGGTGTAATTATTCATCATCATACCCTTTCCTCTGCTTCTGTGGTGACTATAGTGGCAGGCTGCACCACTTCCACCTCCATGGCGGTGGCAGAGGGGTCAGTGGGTGCCTCTGTAGTGCTGGTCACAATAATTGGCGTGGCCACATCTGCCTGTGCCGGGGCAGGGACGATCTTGATCTGTAGCGGAGGAGGAGGCGTAGCAGTGATGGTGGCGGTGGTCTGGCCGACCGCACCCCCTCCGCGAGGTTTGGCCTGGAGCGGTGGCGGGGCAACAGAATGCACCATCTGCTGGAGGCGTGGAGGCGGTGGCGTGTTCTGCATCTGCTGCAGGGGTGGCGGCTGGCGGGCTGAAGGCAGCTTGGGGATGATGATCTTGGTGACCATGGCCAGTGTCGGGGTGGGCACGGTGGGCGGACCCGAGGATGCGGGCGGCTTGTGGGCGCCTGTGCGAGAGCGCGTGGTCACCTGTGGCAAGTCGATGATGATGTTCGACGTGCAAATATTGGTGATGGTGTTGTTGTCGGGTGCATGCACCGGGATGCGGCTGGAGCGTGTGGGTGTCGGCTGAGGGGGCGGAGCCTCAGGAGCGGGAATCACAATAGGAACGGCGGGTGGAGAAGGCGCCGTATCCAGCACCTCAATAGTGGGCTGCAAAGGTCAATAACAACTTGTGTAAAATTTTATGCTTTGCACAAAAAGATACAATTTCTAGAGTATACAACAGTTTCGTTAGTATTTGGTGAAAAAGGCACCTAAGCCTGGGATACCTGGGATAGCTGACTGGCTCTGTAAGCAGCCAGTGCTTTAAGATACTCCTTCTTAGCAGCTTCAGTCTTCCTCTTGTAGACCTGAAGCACAAACAGGGTTAATCAGGTATCTGAGCAAATCTTTTGACCGTATCTGGCTTATCCAATAAAAATACGTATGTAAAATGACGCATACAAGCCAATTATCAGCCAAGAAATGCAACCAATTATGGCATGAAACCCTATGATCACACATTTAACAGATTCACACCTGCTTCTGCTCTTCTCCCAGACTGTCCCACATGGAGGCGACGATCTTAGACACCTCTCCAAACGTAGCATTGGGGTTCTGGCCCTTGATGGCTGCCTGCGTATCGCGGAAGAACAACGCGTAAGCCGAAACCGGCTTCTGAGGCTCGTTAGGATCTTTTTTCTTCTTGCCTTTTTTGGCTCCTCCTCCAACACCTACAGCTTTCCGGGCGAGGGTGGGCGGAGTGGAGGACACTGATGCGGCAGGCTGCTCCGAAAGAGCAGGGGAGAGAGAGATGATGCCAGGAGAGACGGAAAGAGAGACAGGGGACTCCACTAACACGCTCTTCTGGGCCAGAAGGAGATGGACAGATGGAGGGAAAGGTGAAAGAAGAAAAGAATTGGACAGTAAGAAAGAGAGATTAGTTTTAATTACGTTTCAATTTTTAATTTACGACTGTGTAATTTGGGTTTAATGTAGTCAGGTTTAAATTAGCCCAAGTTGTGATCTAAACAGAAACACTCAACTCTTCTGAAGTCATCCATGTCGTCATCCTGCAGAGACTCTGAAGGTGAACCGGTGGCTGACAGTGGCTGGTCAGGTGAGTGTGCGCGTGTCAGAATGGCCCCGCCCCCTAGACTAAGACCCAGCTGTGCACTAAGCTCCGACTGGTCAATGGTGGTCAGCGGATTGTGCCCCAACAGGCCGTGATTCATGTCCGGGAGTGGCACGTCTATGGTCATGGGGGAGGAGCTGCTAAACTGTGAGCCCATGGGATGTCCAAGATCCTGGAACGGTCAAATCGTTTAGGTTCGGGTTTAAAATCAGTTCTTGCATCCAAGATAAGATTAACATTTAGGCTTCGTTCATTGTTCTTAATAGATAACTGTACTATTTTTATAAATAAGAACCTACAGTATATGGGTCCTTTACACCCATGCCTTTTAAACATATATAAGACATCTCCAGTTGGAGAAATATCAAAACAGACCTATTTTACTATTTTAGGAAACTATTCACGTATAGCTGATATTTTTATAGCCATATTTTCTCCTCACCATTCCCAGAGATGATCCCAACATCGGTCCGCCTCCTTGCTGGGTCATGAGGCTCAAATGCTCAAGCCCTTGTGTCGCTGGGTTTACAAAGGTCGAGGCAAAGGAAGGGTCGTCACCTTGCACCACGGCGTTGCCTGGGACGACAGGGGCTGGACCACCATCGCCCAGCTCTCCGAAGTGCGACACCACATCCGAAACACTGAGGGCCGAGTCGGGGACGAGGGAGATGGGTGGGATCTCAAATTCCTCATCACCCAAACTGGGCGTGTGGAAAGTCTGCAGTAGGAAGATCGGGTTTTGAGAAAGAGTGAGAGTGAGAGAGAGAGAGAGAGAGAGAGAAATTCAGTTCTAACCTTACGGTAACCACACATATTGGAAGGCTTTGGTCTGTGCAGCACTTTAAACCATACTACAGATTTCTTTGGGGCTTTAATGATCTAGAAGTTAATTTAGTCATTCACAATTTTAACTACTGCATATCATGCTAAATTACCTGAAAAGTGATTATTTACAGCAGGCAATCAAACACATAATTAGTGACGTGGCTTAGGGCTGGGCAATACGACTATATAAAATATACATCATGATAACTTCTGACAACACATTTCTCTGATCTATCGCAGTATCAGTATAGTCCCATTTTTATAATAATTGTAAACTCTGACTGGAAACAGCTGATAAGTTAAAATTCTGTAAGCTTGTCAGTGTTAAATAATTTTATTTTTGGTAACATAAAAGAGTCATTAAACTTATCAAATGCAACACTAACGCTTTATAAGTAAACCTATACATGTCACATCGCCTATGTGCCTGAAAGCATTTTGAACAAAAACACAGAATCTCGTGGGGGAAAAAATGTGGAGACTGAAAACATTTTCAGTTACAATAAAAGTAATCATAGAATGTTAGGTTATAAAACAAGAACAATTTAGCTAATACCTTATAAACACAAAATAAATAAACCCCCCCCAGCTACCTGAAAAGAAAAAGGGTCAAAAGGAGCACTTTTCTGAGGATCTCAGTGCAGACAAACAAGTGCATAGACAGAGACAGACCAGCCATCTAATGTAACTAACAATCTTACTTTAGAGCAACACTCAATTCTAGTCACTCAGGGCTGGAGATCAGCACAGTTTGGTGATCTTCCTGCTTACAGACATTCGCTAATCTGTAATTCTCTCGTGAATTAAGTAAAGAGTAATTGATGAAGGACCGTTGAAATATTAGAAAATAACGCACACCCCGTGGTGGTAATGGTAACACTTTCGAATGATTCCACTTGTACCACAGTTACCACGTCTCAATACACTGTTCAGATGTTTTATTTTAAGACATTGTGGTAATGCTCGTGCGTGTGGAACTAATCTATTACGCATCCCAGCAATAAGCTTACTTGTTCAGAGTTTTACGTGTTTTATTACTTCAGAAAATACAGCGAATAAATAAATAGACACACATGCGCTCTCACACTCTCTTTTTCCTTGCCCATCCCCCCCCTAATAACTGCACATCAACGACTCAAGCCTCCACTTCACCTCGTGACCACATTACCACCTCGGGTGCGCATTATTTTACTGCCATCAATTATTATTCACATATTTCTGGAAATTATCAATTGTCTTGTCATTTTGTTTGCTGTTAGATCTGTGTGCTGTTGCGGACAGTAACTTCAATGTTTCCGTTATTTCAGTTCACTCGAAAGCGAAGTGATATGGAACTGTAATGCGGTCAGGACCTGACTGGAACTACTTTATCTGTGCATTTACTGAAAGAATCGAGAACTCAACAGTGGTATAAATCAGTTTAATTAATTAATTAATCTTCATCCGCTTATTCAGGGTCGTGGGGAACCTGGAGCCTATCCCAGGAAGCATTGGGCACAAGGCGGGGTACACCCTGGACAGGGTGCCAGTCCATCGCAGGGCACAATCACATACACACTCACACACCCATTCATACTCTATGGACAATTTACCAAGCTGCCAATCAACCTACCATGCAGTCTATGGACTGGGGGAGGAAACCGGAGTACCTGCAGGAAACCCCCGCAGCACGGGGAGAACATGCAAACTCCGCACACAGATCACCTGGCGGGAATCGAACCTCGGACCCTGGAGGTGTGAGGCGAACGTGCTAACCACTAAGCCACCATGCGCCCCATTAATTAATAAATTAATTAATTAATGCAATCGTGCTTTGACCCCACACCATCTGAATGAGGTGGTCTCGGCCCGATCGCGATCGAACTCCGGAGCGGTTCGCTTATGTCGATAAAGCAATCTGACTGACGAATCAACTTCACATAGCAATGCATGATGTGAACTACGTTGTGTAAAAATCGTGTTTGTTTTGCTAAAGGCTCGTAACATGAATCGTGGTTTAACTCGTGGTAAAATGCCTCAGTGGAATTTACTTATAAGAACATATTTGTGAACTTTCATAAACGCTTCATAAAAGGTGTTTAGCGAGCGTTTCAAGGAGATAATTGCTTTAATAAAACCGGTGTGTCGTGTGCGGTTATTCCCAGAGAGTCGCTTTTGAAATGTTGTTCATAAAGAAGAAGAGTAAAGGGCATTAACCCATGTGCATTTTATGTTCTTTTCAACTTCTTGTTCCTGCATTTCCAGAAGACGTGAACTTCACCACATTCACAAACCCTTGTTTGTGCAGTCTGTCCAATAGTCTCGCACTATTAAACACAACCAGTGGAGATTAAAAAGCTGGATCAGCTGACGGGAGCTGTGCGTTTCTTATTGTTACAGGAAGTCGAAAGTAAACCTTGCCCGATAACTCAGGGTCGGATTACACGAAACCTGTTAATAAACACAGTGTGTGGTTCAAGACACACACAAACCGCTCAATCGGAATGAAATCAAATGCATTGGCAGAAATCTTTGCGAGTTCGCACATGCTCTCCGAAGAATTTTTTTTTTAAATAAATAAAACCGTACTAAATAGTACCATTACTCGTCACTGAGGTGGCCTCATTTTGCTTTTCAGACCATACAGGAGCTTGATTTTTCTGCTGCTTTTTTCAAAATCTTGATTTGTTTGGTTTTTTTGTGGAAAACTAATCGAACTGGCGAAATTACAACTGCACGAAATTGTTTTGCATGATCTTTCACAGCGATGTTTGTTGGTAAACGAGACCTTTTAGCTGTACTCGTGTTTGACGCACAAGAATCGAAGAGGGCTTCGGCGTTGTGATGACGAAGCCCAAAATCTCCAGAAAATATGAGGTCATTTTGGAAAAAAATTATAAAAATCGCAAGCGCCGTCACCAAATCATTAAGGAGGGACTGCCTTTTGTACCTTTATTATGCATCTTTCACCTGGAAGTGATTCAAACGATTTAAGGTACATAATTAGAGCGCAATCTGTAATTAAAATGCATTTAGTGCACTCGTCTAGTTCAAAGACACAGTTAAGGTATAAAATATGTAGCCTTGAAAGTACCACTCCAACACCAAGAGCTGTAGAAGAAAGGTGTACCCAGTGAGTCTCTGGAACTAGAAGCAGTTCCAACAAACACTTGATACTGGCTTTAGGATTAGGTCTAAAGTGTGGACAATGTGAACAATGACATGGACAGAAAGAAGTAAAACACTCTGTACGCAAAGCACCTCAGCATCCTGGATTTGAAGGGAGTATGTGGAGTGGAGCGGTACCTCGGAGGAGGACAGGAAAGGATGGCCCTCTCCACTGATGGGCAAAAAGTTGTCGCTTCCTCCCGGAAACTGAAAAAGAATCCAAAGCAAACGATCCAAATTGAAAAAAACATTTTATTTTCAAAAATCAACTTGCATATTAATCTTTATAATTAACATCTTTAATGGCATCCAAGGTTTACTCTGAAATTAAATTCTGACTGTTTTATTTTTATTCTACTTAAATTTCTTTCATTCATTGACATGTTCTATTTTCACTTTATTGAACAGTTTCCTACACTACCCACAATGCCATTCGACCAGCTTCTGATAGTGGCACCAGACGAATTTAGATCTTGCTTCATCGTTGCCTAAACACAGCGATGCAGTGGCACATTAGTCTGTCCAGCTTTCACACCTCCTCACCTGTACACTGTTTCAAAGCTTCAACTTTCATTCTAACACCACTTCTGAACACCCGCGCATCAAAGATCGGCAACCTGCCGAGCGTTTTCTGGACTCGAAGTCCTCACTACTCCAACGCAAGATCTCTCCTGCGTACCATGCTAAATGTCGTTGAAAAACGAGTGACTGAGAGCTCTAGGACGTTTGTTTCCACGGCGAAAAAACCTGGGTGTTATGAAACAGCTGATTTTTTTGTAGAAAATACAACCTTGTGTGGTTGTTTTATTGCTCTGAGTTTTCTAAAGCGACGCGTCATAAAATTATTCCAGACAGGGGCGTAACCTGGCCTGGGGATTCGGAGTTGTAGCCTCGAAGATTTTTCTTTAGCCCTGAATAATTCTCCACTCGGAGTGAATTGTCACTACACAACTGAACGTCAGTAGAAGACGAAGGCAGTGTTGTAATTTTAGATCTTCACTGAAAGGAGGTGAGACCCATCTGGCAAGATTTACAGGAAAATACGTGGAAATAGCCTACTCATGTCTGACAGCTTTCAATTCTACTAAACGCTAGCTCACACAGTCAGTCAGTGCGAGGGGGGAATGGATAAACACTATTTTTTTTTTTAACTAGTAAAGGAGTTGAATGGGTAACATCCTTTCATGCTGAGCAGGAAAACAAGGTGTGTAAAAGTCTAAACAAGCTCCAAGTAGAGCATAAGGACAGATAATGTACACTACATGGCTCTGAAGCAGCTAAACCCATGCTGTGAGAGCTTAATGACACCAAACGAGCCTAATTAGAAAAGTCTGATATATTAATCAGTCTGGTCATCTAACAAACAGAGACGACACCTTAGGTGAGTTTTACGAAACCCAACTTTGTCCAATTTTCACATTTCTTTAACCGCCCAAAAAAGATTGCATTGAAAGTCTATACAGAAGTAATGTTTTTTTGACGAAGGAGAATCTGGGCTCAGTCCTGCTTGACAAAGTCCAGATCGTTGCTTCCCCACAGATAAACTAGTCCAATCCGAACTGGTCTAATGTCCCGCAGCCTCAGACTTCTCCCAGGAATAATGAAAACACAGCACGGCTTGACGCGGCAGCACGACAATCCCTAAACACCTCAGGGAGATGTCAATCTAAACATATGTAACGTGTTTGTAAAGAGAGGTTTCCTTTCAATGCAGCAGCACTGAGTGCAGGAAAAGCTTCCAATATAACTCATTATTCAAATCTACACATTACACTTCCCACACGACCTCTAAACCCTGGCTGGTGTTTGTTATTTAAAAAAAAAAAAAAGGTTTACACTGATCACCTTTGGAACCGGATCAAATCCGTTAAAGGCTTGTGCGTCCAGGAACTCTGGATCCCCCGCCTGTCCGGTCTCATCCGTCAGATCCGAGTAAAAATTCAGATCCATTTTAGGACTGGTGTGAGCATGCGCAACAAAAAAGAAGAAGAAGAAGCAGTAGAAGTAGTAGAAGAAGAGCAAATCAGTCAGCCGAATGAAATCTGAACCGCAGGGTGACGCCGATCAAGCCCCAAGAATCCCCCGGGTGAGATAGTGGACTGTAAGGCCTTGGGAGGGATCCACTGCCGCGCAGGTTTAGTCCGGGTTAGAGATCCACTACTCTTGTCTCACACGCGGCTCGCGCTGTCCCGCATGACTGACGCACACTGCGGTGCACAGCCGCTCAGACCCTCAAAACTGCTTGAAAGGCGACGAGATCGCACACGTTTCGGTTTAAAAGACAGCAGCACGGTCCTGCCCGCAGCAAAGGCGTGCTCGCTAGCAGCTTAGCTCACTGCTAACGGAGATTCCATTTGAATGACAGCCACATGGGGGGTAAAAAACACGGCTAAGACACCGGCTACAGCAAAAATCCACATTCCGCACTGCGTCCGAGATCATCCACATCACCGCGTCTATTCCCGACACGTTCAAATAAAGCGAGCCGGATTCATACCGACATAAAATCCAAAAAACAAACAAACAAGCAAACAAAAAAAAACCTGGCCGATCACATCACAAAACGGGCTTTTTTTCTCTTCTTCTTCGCTCTTCGCGCACCGCAGGCTTCTCAATCGAGCCCGAGCCGCGGATTCAGACCTCAGGATGGCGGCGCAGCGAAGGGGAACAACGATGTCCGTTATATTCCACGCGTGTCGAAGAAACCATTGCACTCGCCAAAACTTCACAGGAAATAGTGCAGCACCGCCTGTTAAGATTCGGTCATAAAGGCGATATGCGGTGAATATCAAGATAAACTATGAATCGCGTTTTCAGAAATAACACGCCCCCCCATTACTGAGCAGTGGAAAAGTCCGAACGGGGCCTGCTTAAACGGAACGCAGAACCGGCACAACGTTTAAATCCAGTTGAGACTGAGGGAGTCGACTCCGATTCAGTGTGTCGGTAATAGAACGATTCCTGATTTTTTTTTTTAAGCCATCAAAAGATAATCTTATAGAATATATAGTGCATTATTAAGTACACACTACCACGATGGTACTAATCTGAAAGGTGCTCCACTTCAGTTGTTCCGCCTACCTTGTATTAATATGCAAGTCTATCAGCTTAATTATGAACTTAATTTTGTATTCAGAAAAAAAGTCTTATTTTATAGATTTAATCATTCGATAGGATTGCTCGAAAGCAATCATTTGGTTTAGTCACAAAAGCGCATCATATGTAGCGGTCAACTTGACTAATCCCATTGGATGCACTTGGATCACATTTTTATTTAAACAAACTGGTGCGAACCCCTACGATCTAACGTGATAAACAGCAAACTAATACTGAACCAAATTCAGATCTCGAATTAAATAGCAGGTCCAATAACAGCGACACCGGAATCTACTACTCACTCTGCACCATGTGTGTGGAATCGATTCCTTAGCTGTAGAATCGACTCTCGATTCGCAAAGAGTCAAGTCCGAGAATCGATTATTTAATCTTCCTCTGAGACACGAGTGGATGGATATTTTTCCATTTAGAGCTGCTTAAATATTCCGTAGCTGTCCATTTATTTGTAGTGTATTATATTGTAAACATACTATTTGAGCAGGTGAAAAAGTTCTTCTTCAGAAGAGAT